TATTTTTTTAGTATATTACTTGTGTGGTGTAGAAGAGAATTATTTAAGAATGTAATTATGTATGAATGTTAACACTCTGTCATAATTTTTTAGTACATTACTTGTGTGGTGTAGAAGAGAATTATTTATGTAGAGATACTGCTTGCAAACCAATGATGGTAAGATGATGTCATGGGGTAGGACTGGATAAGTCTGACTTCTTCCTACTCCATTCAAGCATGTACTAGGTATAAGCACATTGATATTGGATTAGCATTTGTTGGATATATGTAAAATTATGTGTGTTGACATATAAACTGTCTTTACATGCTTGAAAGAATAAATAAAATAAATACAAAAAAATAAATAAGTAGTCCAAAAACCAGCAACTGTTGACTTTCATATGGTTCGGCTGAAGCTCAAATGCTGATCAAAAGTCAGTCACGAGAAAGCCTTGTTATATTCACTCTGCTGTTAAATCAGCAGTAACACTTCTGTTAGTCCTCAGGGAGCATTAGCTGTCCTTTTCACCTTATGTGTATTTGATTTTCTTGTTAATGTGGCAATGGGTGTGGCTGTCCTCGCAGGAACCACATGTACAGTATATGGCTCATCTCTCTCACACGCTTACACTCAGCATGAGTATAAACATCTGCTGAGTACAAACATGCTTATTAGTTGTCGGCTTGGTGTCTGCTGAGCTGCTTCTGGGGAGGTGTGTTGGTTGAAAGGTATGAAAAGCATACACCTACGTACTGGTTAGAGGAAGAGCTATAATGAGGATATTGGTAATCTCAGCTGCTATTCATAGCTGCAACTTCGGTAGAGGTTAATGCCTAAACTCATTTTTGAGACCAGACCACAGGCTTTGATCTTATATCATAAGATAAGCACAACTTCACAAATTATAGACCGTTTCTCTGTTGTCACAGTTTTCAAAAATATTGTAAAAACTTTTTAATAACAGATTAGACACATTTATTGATAGACATAAAATCCTCTCCGCGTGCCAATATGGTTTTAGGTCGAACTGATCGACATCTCTGGCCATTACTGAGCTAATGGAGGACATAACAAGTGCTATGGATGACAGGAAATACACGATGGGAATATTTATTGACCTAAAAAAAGCATTTGACACAATCAATCATGAGTTATTAATGGATAAGTCAGAAAAATATGGGATCAGGGGATTGGTACTGAACTGGATAAGAAGTTATTTGACACAGAGGCATCAATTTGTGAAGTTGGGTGAATACCAATCGAGTGAGCTGGACATCGTATGTGGAGTGCCTCAAGGTTCTGTTTTGGGACCTAAATTATTTATACTGTATATTAATGATATATGCAAGGTTTCTGATTTAGTGAAAGTGGTTTTGTTTGCGGATGATACTACCATATGGGCATCGGGTGAAAACCTACAGCAACTATCTGGATGGGTTACACAGGAACTTGAGAAGATAAAGAAATGGTGTGATAGTAATATACTATCTCTGAATATGGATAAAACTAAATTTATGGTATTTGGGAATCGCAGATTAGACAATGAATTTCAATTGAATATTGGGGGAGCTAATATAGAACGAGTACATGAAATTAAATTTCTAGTATTTTGTATTCTTCATTGATTTTACCATACTTAGAGTATGGCGTTGAAAACTGGGGAAATACATACACACGGTCACTTCAACCACTGTATATATTACAAAAAAGAGCGATAAGAATTGTACATAAGATGGGGTACAGGGATCACACCAATGGAGCTTTCATACCATCTAAATTGCTAAAATTTTTTGATTTAGTGGGATATAAGACTGCTGTGTTTATGTATAAAGCCAGGAACAATTTATTACCTGGTGGAATTCAAAAACTATTTAATGAAAGGGAAGGGGGATACAATTTAAGGGGTCAGTTAAATTTAAAAATTCATGCTATACGTACAACCAAAAAAAGATTTTGTATTTCCATAAGTGGGGTAAAACTATGGAATAATTTAAGTGTGGACATAAAAAAATAGTAATAGAATTGACGCGTTTAAACGTAAATATAAAGGTATGTGTCAAGCAAGATATATGCAAGAACAGGCTCAATGATTAACTACATGGACTATTGTGGGTGTGGTGTATATTTTGTAACCATTCTTTAATACATCACTAGTGTGATGTAGGAATGTTAACACTGTTATATTCTTTGTTAGTATAATATGTGTGAGTGTAGTAGCGAATCATTTATTGCTTGCAAACCAATGATGGTAAGATGATGTCATGGGGTAGGACTGGATAAGTCTGACTTCTTCCTACTCCATTCAAGCATGTACCGTACTAGGTATAAGCAAATTGATATTGGATTGTGTGTTGTTGTTATATCAACTGTTTTTTTATATGCTTGAAAGAATAAATCAAATCAAATCAAAAAATCAAATATCTGATGAAAGTAAAGAAAAGCAAAGACAAATTAAGAAATCACAGTAATAAAACATTAATAATCAAATAAAAGCAAGCGGACATTTTTGTTTATATGATAAAACCATGTGATTAAGCATAATTGCAATGTCCACTCAGCTCATAAACAACTAAAAACTTAAAGGAATAATTTAACATTTTAAGAAATGTCGGAAAATATGCTGATACTGGTATTTAACACACTCATTGTATCCCTGGCAGCTTCGTGCACATGCATAGTTACTGTCTGTGGACCTGTCATCACGGTGACGTCAGCCAAGTCACAGTGCTTGGCCAAGAAACAGTCCAGCACAAAACCCCTCACAATAACAACTAGCTGCTTTTACACTTTTATTTTGTGCTAAGCAAAGTTAATCGCCTGCTGGCAGTAACTTCATATTCACAGTACAGACACAGAGTGTTCCGTCTTAACTAAATTACATCAAGAAGGGGAAAATGTAATGAAAAACTATTCCTTAAAAGATCCTTTGTACATAATTGCATTATACACAGTTCATGACAGAAGTATGTTTTTATAACTTATAAAAGTTATTGTAAAAAATTGTATTTATATATTATGATACTGTCACAGATATACCATGTCTCTATGTGTTAGGAAGCTGTAAATGCCATTAGTTTGCTTATGATAACTTCTATGTTCTTAGCAAAAGTAGAAAAGAGAAAGGACAGTGAAAGATGAGATCAGACAACCAGGGCTATTTAGGACATCAGAGCACGATCTAGCCTCAGCCTGTCCTATCCAAGGAAAACTGGAGAGCTAAAACCATCCTGCAAAGACTATTCATCTAAATACAAGCAACTCCTGCTACCAGCTGTGAAGTAGTGCTCAGATTGTTTATTTAAGTAAGAGCAGCAATAGCACAGTGTAAAAATACTCTGTTACGAGTAAAGTTCCTGCATTGTAAATGTTACTTAAGTAAAAGTCCAAAAGTATTAGCATAAAATATACTTTTTGCTGTATATCTGGGACAAAGGCAGTAACAGTGGCTGGTAAACTCTGTGCAGTCTTCATTATTTCCAAACCAAATGTGTCCGCTATATACTCTGTATAATGAAAATAATAGATAACAGATGAGCCATCCTGACAGCTGAGATACAGAGAGTGCTGTCAGTCGACAACAGCTGTGCATGTCAGCTTTATTGGAGCTCAATTGCTGCTGGAAGGACCGAAGCCAGCCCTGTTTGAACAACTACACAATGAGCCAGCATTGTAGTCAAGTCGCTAAACCTCGAGTCCGAGTTGAGTCTCGAATTGTCTAAGTCTAGTCCTTGTCACCAAAGAATAATCTGAGTTGAGTCCCCATTACCAGAGTCAGAGTTATCAAGAGCTACATTAAACACAACAGACAGCTCTCACCATTTTATATTCCAAACCGACCAACAGTGTATTGCATCGTCAAATTGCTCTACAATTTGACACATAAAAATCATTTATAGAAAGGCAGAGTGTACGCCTTGATGATGAGGTGTGCCAGACACAGCATGGTGCACGTGAACAAGTTTTAATATCAACTTATGCCAAATTATTATGGCCTATTACAAAAACAAAACAAAACAAAAAAAACTGAGTCCTCGTTTCCAACTTCTGAGTCTAAATGCAGTCAATGCTCAAGTCCAAGTCCAAGTCGAGTCACAAGTCCTGAAAATCCAGAATCAAGTGGGACTCAAGTCTTAGTCCTGGACTCGAGTTCTAGAACACACCGCCATGAGCAACTGAGACAGAAAACCTAGCCAAGCTAGCCCAGTGCCATATGCAGATAACACTTTTGATGCACCTGTCGCTTTAACAGAATGAATCCCAGCTAAGGTGGTTGCAGAGGAGCACAGTCTGTTCTTGTGTAAAATAAAACAGGTTTTGTTTTTCAGAGATTCCTCTCTGAGGTTGTAATAAAAGTCCAGCGGTGTAATCAGCCAACATGGGCCTCTGGAATGAACAGCGGCCTCAGGCGGCTCAGAAGACACAAGGCTGCCTGGGTTTCAAACTGCCAGACTGGCTCTATTGGTGTCAGTCATTGCTGGGCTCTGACAGCCACACTCGCTTATTGGCCTTTAACATCACAGTGCTAAATAACTACAATCACCCTGATGGCAAACACTGTGCTGCAGATTAACCAGTTCTCTATTGCAGCCTGAGTGGGTTTGCTGGTTGGCACTGGGACACATGCGACTATTACTCCACAGCAGCACCACCATGCAACAAATAGTAACATTTAGCCCAAGCTGAAGTATCTTCACTACTGATGTTAAAGTACCATACCACCCTCTGCTTCTTTTTATTCATTTATCTAAAATAACGAGAGCTGAAACAATTGGCTCTGCAACTGATTCTGACACAGCAGCCTACCTCGGGACAAGTCTGTGCAAGTTTGTTTTCCATGTTATCATGAGGAGAGAAGAATGGCTTGCAGTAATTCATGTGTTGTGGTGCTAAATAAAATTTGCCTTACATGCTTTCACAGAATCGAGCAAGAGTGCTGGGTTTCTCCTGGTTGCGTCTTTGTCTGAACCAGCGCTGGATGGTCCGCACATCCCAGTCGAGCTGCTTGGACAGGCCCTCCAGCCTCTTCTCGTCTGGGTGCTGGCAAGCCAAAATAAAACACATCATATGTTAGATGTAGCTTTCATTGCAGTACCAATTATAAAGGTAGAACAGAACATAAAGGAGAACGAGGAGAATGTTTGCACCACCTTGGTTATCGCAGTGAAAACCTTCTCGAGGATAGCGTTAGGTTGTGCTTTTTGTGGTCCATTCGCTTGGATCTTCAGGCCCATCGCACATGGTCTTGCAACAAACCTACAATGAAAGGATCAGAACACCTTTCTATCATCAACACCAAAACAGAGACATTATTACTGAGGTGAATTATTGGTGTATTGTGTACTTTTAGGGATGGCGACATAAAGCATTCAATCATCATGCCATATATTGTTTGTAGTTCTTTAAGTCTACATGGACATGGCAACATATAGTCTCTCACAGGTCACGAGGAGGAAGGCCACTTTTGATGTAAAGGTTTGACTGTTACATGTAGAATATACTGTAAAAAGTACTGAGAAGCAGAGCAATGTGATATTTTCTGACACAAGACATTTACAATTTTGTGTGCAGGCTGCAAATTTCTGAAAACATCTGGTAAAACACTGCAAACTTTCTGTTCTCATGAGCAGTGATGGGGTAGACAAATAGCTACTTAAAATTAGTATGCAAATACATTATACATAATGGATTAATTCATGGCATAAACAATACTGCCAATTAGGTCTGTTGCATTCTCTGTCACATTTTCTAAAAAAGATGTATTCTCAGTGCTACATTCTGAACATAAGTGAAGAGTTAGTGTGGAAAGGTAAGGCTGCACTTGCTGCTCCCTAAAGAGAGACTCCTGACCTATATATGCATGACAGGTGTTGCTGTGATCACCATGACTGTGTCCTACTGCAAACTGATGATTGTACGATCGTGGTCAGAGTTATGGTGTTAAACGTGCGTCCTATCTCAAGTGGAGCAGGGCATTTAAAAAAAAAAAAAGAAGCTAAAACAAGTTGTTCTCGGGATCGGGCCTCTCTAAAATTTAGGCTTGGGCTGAAATGACTGCGACTGAATTGGGCAGGTATGGCAACTTGTGTGCACGGACAGATGTATCAAATGCAGACAGCGCGTAATGCTGCAGGCCTGCAGAAACGATGATCAAGCCTGGTGATTTGTGGGCTAACCAGAAAAGATGCCATTGTTTAGACTGACAAACATGGACAGCGGGGTGGGCTGCATCATTCACTGAGACATTTCAATGACATAACAAACCGTACCACAGCCGCCTGGATCAACGCATGTGCTTAGACCCACCTTTCAAAAACCAGTCGTATCATAAAGATGCAGAATGCTAAAGGACAAGCCAGATAGAGATCCTCGGCTTGCGGAAACGTTGCCTCGTCTGTGTTTTTTAAGTCAGCCCAGGTTACATTATGGGGAAGCCAGAACCTCTCGTTCCAAAACCACGCCAAAATACCGGCCATCTCCTTGCAGTAGACACTGTGACCGGGTCGAAAGAGAAATCCTTGTCCCGCTGTATCCCGGAGGTCTCACACAGACGATCTGACCGTGCAGACTCGGCCGATGATCAGATAAACGAAGAAGATCGCCGTCCGTCCGTTTCCTCTCAGCTATTCCAGTGTAGGAAGTGGACTCAATCAGCTCTGTAACTGATTGGTGCGTTGAAATGCCATGCAGCAGTCACTGTACATGCCGGTTTCAGCACGGCGCTATCAAGGGAAACCACTTTTTGCGTAGTCCTTTAAAGTAACACTCAACAGTGTTATTTAGTTCCTTTAAGAGCTGACTAGGCTACATGAGGCTGAAATGCTTTTTGTTTTGTTTATCGCGTTTGTTTGACACATCAGTTGCTGTTATATTACGGTAGGAAACCCAGAATAAATTGCCTACCAGATTAGCCCATGTATCAGCTCTAGGCTATGGTATAATTATCCTACGGCCAAACAGCCTGATTGTTAGTTTCAGAAAACAGGGAAATGTGAGCGCAAGTACAATGGCAACAGTGTAGCTCGATCACTACACGATTCTTTGTCAACTCTGCCACCTACTGACAGTTTTGATGTAGTAGCCCAATGAATAGTGACCTTGTAAAGCTTAACGAATTAAAAGATGGCCTACATGGTGTGATCTATTATTCATACATTTTTGTAAGTGGAAAGAAAACAAAGAGCTGCTCTCTCTGTTGCATTTGAGTAAATAGGCTGGGGCAAACATAAGACATGTTTTATATAGGCTATTATGTATGACTGATTGAAATAATTAGTAAATATTCATCAGGTTTATATAAGATACACTTAATATTTTTCATCTTTCTACAAGAGCATATACTATATTCTCAGATTCTGTATCAGACATTATATATAAAGCCTTTTACAAATAGGGAAGCATCTATTTTTTATTATTATTTACTATTTTTTTTATTATTGTGTTGTGTTGATTCTCTCTAAATTGTCAGAAAAAAAAGTGAGTAATTCAAACTAAAATATCCTAGAACTGAAGATGTCATCTTTGCACTACTTTGTTGTACCAAAACATATTCCATTAAAGGACAAATAAATCTAAAGAAAGCAGAAAATATTCACATTCGAGAAGCTAGAACCAGCAACAGGCTAAACCATGTTTACCATTGTTGTTTGAAAAATCAGAATAGTTACTGATCCATTTCTGACTAAATGTTTAGTCAATTAATTATTCAATTTCAATATCAAACTCTAATAGGCTATATGTTCAAATTGTAGTATGTTAACCGTATCCTCCAGTCATCATACATTACTAGACAATATAAAGATGTGATGGCGCTATCTACTGGCTATTGTTAACAATATCACTTATGATTATATAGTTACACCTTCAGCAGGTCTCACACAAGTCTCACAAATAATAAGATATCAACTTGCAGAAAGTAGGGTCTACTATTGAACTAACTAATTTGTCACTGATATATAGGGTGTGTGTGTGTTCCGTTATTTTCCGGGTTGTGGTCATCGCTGGCGCTAACCTTCTGCAGTTACCCATAGATATATACTTGTAGATACTCCCTGAGCGTCCACTGTTCATCGCGGCAAAGCGTCAACGCAGCCGCCATTTTGGTACGGGGATATGTCGCTTGCTAATGCACGTAGGTTATATCGGTCAGGAGGCCTAACCACAAAGTCACCATCGCGCCGAATTTTCAGTTTGGTTTGTCACGGATTACGTTTATTTGTAACAGCCTACATGATACAATGACTTAAATGAAAATTCGGATATTCATACTACGAGACTTAATCTTTTGTAGATAGAGACAGTAATAAACAATAGTGGGTTAATAAAACTAGTCTATAGTGATTAGTTTGTAAATATATTCTTATGTCTTACTGCATTGTGAAATGGCTGTCATTATAAAATGTTACTAACATTCTGGAAATAAATGCATACTTGGGCAATAAAGGAAATAGTGGAACATCTTTATATCTTGTTTTTCATATTTATATCGTACTATCCTTTTTATATATAGCCGACACATTTGTACGGCGAACCTGTCTTCTGTGAAATGTTGTTTGTTATTCGGTTTGACAATTTCTTTAGTTATGAACAATAAATTCTGGCATCCTCTATTCTCTGTAGTGGCCAGAACCCCGCTTCAATAAAAAAATCTGCTAGGTCGGCGGCCGGTTGCTAGCTGACACTTGAACAGAGAAGGTGAGGTCAAATTTGACAGTCTCTGTCTCTCCCTGTCTGTGCGTCTGTCTATGAGTGAAGCTGCTAACAGCGCATCATCATCATCATCATCATCATCATGGCGGATCAAGGCGAATCTCCGGTTCCCCTCTACCCGCAACCAGCGCTGATAACCAGCTGGCCAATTACCAGGGAGTCGTACGAACTGCAAGAAGTCATAGGTTAGTATGCGTTAGCATCCAGAGATGCGATCAGCTCTGTGCGGTGTACTATCACAGAAGGGCACGCCGCGGCGGATTATCAGCTGTGAATGACGACGAGGGCCTACCGGCTTCTACATGTGCCACGGGCTACTGCAAAGCTTAGCAAGGCGGATGTTAATAGCAACATTTAGAGACTACAGATGAACAGCAGATATTGGTGACTCGGAGGAAACTGAGTTTAAATGCAGGTACCAGCACCAGGTTGAGCGATACCGGTTTCTGGCACGTGTCCAAAAATCCCAGTTGCTGTGGTTTTATAAGACCACAGTGTGTTATAGTAGTTGTGGCATCTGTGATGTAAACGGAATTAAATATACTGTCACATTTTTTCTACAGGACAATCCTGCAGGTGTAACGTACTTTTTACTTCTAGTACTACTTATTCAAAGAATTGCAGTAGGCTTTGTTGAATTGTGAAATCCCAAAAACTTAAGTGAGACTTGAATCCCACTATGATTCCATTTTTGATTTTATTTTTATTTTTATTTTTTTTGTCATCCTTTAGTTAAATGTCAGAAAAGGTTTTTAGCACTAACACGTTCATTAGCCATGGGTCAGTAGCAGTAAACATACACATACTCTTTTTTTAAAATAAGCATTGTTATTATGGGTAGAGTAAAGAAAACATGACAGACTATGTGTGTTATGCATATTATTATTATGACTAAGACTTTGCGTGTCTGTTTCTTGCACTTTTACTATGAAGATTGGGGATATACTTGTAGTAGAGTCAGAATAATTTGCTGTTTTGCAAGCACATCTAAAAACCTAATTTTTTTTTTTAGCTTTTGTAATTTATGTTTACCAGCACAAGTCACATAATGCTATATTTTAGTGTGATCATAACACATTTATTTAGTTTTATTAAGTTTTAGATAAAACTGCAAAGGCCCCCTCCTTGAACCGCCACCTTATTGTGGTGGAGGGGTTTGAGTACCCGAGTGATCCTAGGAGCTATGTTGAGGTAATATAATGTAATATTACCTTGCACTTTTTCAGTTCATGTGAGATATCTCACATGAACTGAAAAAGTGCAACCGGAAGTTGCCTGACTATCTGTGGCAAACACATGGACCGTGCAAGATGAGCTGGCAAGTCATATAATTACTAATAAGAAATAGCACCTCAGCTGTGTGGTGCTGACTGATGAAGTAATACTCTCTGTTCTCTTTATCATCTGGTAAGCAGTCAGATCTCATGTGTTCTCTTCCTCTTCTTAGCTGCTGCTAACTGTTGGCAAGCAGTATGCTGTGTGTCACAGCTTCTTGCAGTGAACAGCTTTATGACTCCAGTGTGGTCTGAGTTGTAAACAACCCATCGTGTTAGAAAAAGTGCTGTACTAAGGGTCAGCATATGTCACTGTGTGTGTCTAATGTTTCAGCCAGCATGTATGAAAAATGAAAATCATAACATGAACACAAAAACATGAGATACAGTTGACCAGACAAATTGATGTTGATATTGAATGTTAATGTTGTGTTCTAGCTGTGTGTGCCGTCCCTTTTTGCTCCTGTTTAATTTGTCAATGCTTTCTGTGGCTGTGATTCCAGGCAGTGGGGCCACAGCTGTGGTGCAGGCTGCCCTCTGTACCCCCAGACAGGAGCGCGTGGCCATAAAGAGAATCAATCTGGAAAAATGCCAGACTAGCATGGATGAGCTATTGGTGAGCATAATAAATACAGGCTATTTTCTCAGCATGTACATACAGTGTTTTTGTACCTCTCTCTAGTGCCCTACTACTACTTTGAATCTAATCCATATTATTACTGTTCTCTTTAATCTGAAAATTCACTGTATATTAATTCACTTTGTAAGTTGTGATACTGGATGATTTACTGCAAGATTGTTCTTACTGAAGTGTGTAAATCTACTGACTTTCCTGTTGTTATTGTTAAACAAAAATTTTGATATCTTTTGTCTCACACAATAGAAAGAAATTCAGGCAATGAGTCAGTGCAGCCATCCCAATATTGTCACCTACTATACCTCCTTTGTTGTGAAGGATGAACTTTGGTTAGTCATGAAGCTTATGAGTGGAGGTAAGCTTCACCTGCCAAGCTACATGGAACTAAATCCTACCTTTGGTTTAATAATACATGAATTCTCAGTGAATGTGATCATGCTATGCTGTAAATGACCTTTTTCATGTTTGTGCTGTGATCTGCTGACAGCTAGATAACAGCTGCCTGGGTTATAACTCAGCTGTTGTCATCTTAACTAAAAAATAATGTAGTTATACAGAATATACTGTGTCAAAAATGTAAATTGAGCAATTTTATGAGCATTTCAGCCACTAATTTTTATTAAGTATCCTAAAAAACATCAGGTTGCACCAGGTTTAGAAATTGATCTTGTAATAAATCAGTGGAACAGTGGGCAGCTGATTTGTGCTATAGTATGTGCAAAATAAATAGTTGTTATTTTTTTGTGATGTCTTATTTTAGGCTCGATGCTGGATATAATTAAGCACACAAGCAAAGAAGAGGCCAAAAATCGAGCTCTAGATGAGCCTATCATTGCTACAATATTGAAAGAAGTGCTAGAGGGCCTGGACTATCTGCACAGAAATGGACAGATTCACCGGTAACACTTTTGGAATTTTAGTTTGTTGATCACTTTTTTGAGTAATTTATTAAAAAAAGAATTATAAAACTCATAAGAGAATCTGGGAATAATGCCAGTGTCGCTGTATAAGGAGTCAAACAAATCACTAAAGTCATGTAATTGTATTCATTGTCCTACATTGCTGATATTATGTTCTGCATTCCAAAGTCAGTGAGAGCCAGGCTTAAAACTTCCATCTGCCCCTAGGGCAGAGATCCAGATAGTGGTGGGCTGTGGGACTCGTTCATACAAATGGAAGAATCAATGTTGCGCCACATGATTTTGATGTTTGACTCTGTTTGTGCTTTACTGACCTCAGGGATGTGAAAGCCGGGAACATACTACTGGGAGAAGATGGGTCTGTTCAGATCGCAGGTATGTTGAAGGTGGTACTACTGTTTGTACTACCTTGTTACACTCTTAAGCAGTAAGTTTAAAATTGAAAGTTTATACATATGCAGAGACTGGAACCAAATTAATAAATTGCATTAATTTATCAAGAATGGTAATACATTGGAAATGTCCTTGTAATTATAAATTAGGCAGGGAATTTTATTAGGGTTAGCATTAGAACTCAATATTTGAGAGTAGATTTTGTGATGAAGTCTTTTTCCTAGTAGATATAGTCAGGGAAAAAATTATTTGAACCCCAGCTGATTTTGTAAGTTTGCCCACTAACAAAGAAATGATCAGTCTACAATTTCAATGGTAGGTTTATTTGAACAGTGAGAGACACAACAATAACAAAAAAAAATCCAGAAAAATGCATTACAAAAAAAGTTATACGTTAATTTGCGTTTTCATTAATGAAATAAGTATTTGATCCCCTATCAGTCAGCAAGATCTCTGGCTCCCAGGTGTATTTTATACAGGTAACAAGCTGACATTGGGAGCCCTCTCAGCTCGTCACCTGTATAAAAGAGACCTGTCCACAGAAGCAATCAATCAATCCAGATTCCAAACTCTTCACCATGGCCAAGACCAAAGAGCTTTTCAAGGATGCCAGGGACCAGATTGTGGACCTACACAAGGCTGGAATGGGCTACAAGACCATCGCCAAGCAGCTGGGTGAGAAGGTGACAACAGTTGG